TAAAAAGAGAGAGCCAAGAAAGGCACTGTACAACCATATAAAGAAATGTACAAAACGAAACCACAACTCCAAAGCCCTCGTCTCAGAAGCAGCTTACATCAAGCGTGCAAAAATAAGTTAGAAACGTGTTTTGCTCCTACCATTGCCCATAAACTCGCCTCATCCTTGATTTTTTGGAGAAGCCGCGCTGTCGCGGATTTCTTGTGCTCGAAGATTCTTGCATTTCTTTCCTTCCACACCTCCCAACAAATGAGAATGATGATTGAGCGAAGACCTTGTCTCGCCGTCGAAGGTGTACGATCCATGTTGTCCCACCAAGTGTATACGACAGGGTGTTCGGCTGATCCAGTTTGGATCTGATTTTGGCTGATTCAATAGTATTATGTGAGAGAGAACAAGCTAAAACAAGTCTCCTGGCACCCAGGCGGAAGGTCGCAGCTGCAGCTTGCTTAACCAAATTGCAATGCCCTCCCAGATACGTCTAGTGTAGCGATGATTTGTGCAAAGCTGTCTCACAATGGCTCTCAAGTCCAAGGAGAGCAATTGTATGTTTTTTGAAGCAATGGGGATGGATATGATGGCAAAGTCAACAGTGTACAAAGATCCAAAGCTAACACTCTAGTAGTCTAGTGCAATTTAGGATCAGTCTCATGATCACGTCGAAAGGTCGAACCTGTGTACCAAACGTCCTAGCCTGCACATTCATGTAATCGGTTACATGAACCTATTTTTTTTTATACAAGCCATGTGGTTTTTATGCAAAATACTTTCATCAGTTTCAAATCATGTATTCTGTCACATTTGTCAGCGCAACTGTTGCACTGCGGCAGAATACCAATTTGTGTACATATGCGGTGACCAAAAGCCAGCCAACAGGCGTACGGCAAATTTTACACCATAGTCTCGATCAGTATAAAGTTTTGAATTGCAAACTCCACTGAACATACCCTCCTGATTCCTTGTGCACAATACGCAAATCTATACTGTCAAAGTTTATACATCCGACACTACTAAACAAAGACATGAAATCATTTCGTGTTTAAAAACTAAATTACGCCGTCCTGTATACTCCAGTTCTACTTCATCCCCAAATCAAACGAGCTCCTCTACTCTCTTTTTTTTTTTTTTTTTTTTTTACCTTTGGGAACAAATTCAATTCGAACCCGAAAGCGGCCCAACCCGCCAGGTGACACACCAGTTGCCGGAGCACATCGTCAAAAGCCCCCAAATCCAAGCGAAAGTTGGTCGTCAGCTCATCACCAACACCGGCACTGCAGCAACGCACCCGCACTGCTTGACTGCGAGACCCGCCTATCCCGTAAACCATGTTCGAAGGCGCATAACAACCGTCCATTCCCCCCCACTCCGCTGACAAAGTTACTAGCCGTTAGACAGTTTATTTCACCCCCATCGCTCGCTCTCCTGCCTTGCTAGTTCAAATTCGAATCCCGCAACCCACCAGATTCCAATCCCAACAAATAAAATCGTCATCAACGACGCCTCCTTCCTTCCTTACCAATCAATCAAATCATTCCCAATTGAGATTCATTCGAAGCCTAAGGCTGATGGGGATGGAGGCGAAATGCGGTGGCCTGGCCGTAGCTGCCGGCGCCGCGGTCCGGCGGCCGCTACAACCGCGGGACACCAACGTGGCGGCGTCCACGGTGGTGGTCGGGAAGGCTGCTGCTGCGCCAAAGCCCAAAGCTCATCCAAAGGCGGGGACGAGGCCGGCGGCTTTGCCTTCACTGCCGCCTCCGGCACCGCTGTTCCCGGTGCCGGTGAAGGCCCAGTGCGGCGTGTCTGTTGCGGCGGGGGTGGCAGAGGTGTCGCTGGCGGAGGAGCTCGAGAAGGCTCGGGAGCGGCGTGCGCGGCTCCGCGCGGCGCGTGAGCGGACGGAACGGGAGATGGAGAGCCGCGCCGAGACGATGGAGCGAGCGGCGGCGGAGTGGGAGCGCCGCGCGGAGGATCAGCGAAGGCTCGTCTCGGAGCTCATGCGCCTCATCGGGATGCCTGAGGTAAGTCCGCCCGCCGTGGCGTTCTGTGTCTGCGACGGACTGCTGATTTTGCTATCAATTTTGGTAATTTACTAGACGACGACATGGTGGCTTGCAGGTGTACACACCGGTGGAATCACTGAGATCCAAGGAAGAGAGGAAGCGAAGGGGGGCCGTTATTGCTCATTCCGGTTCGACGGTAATCTTCATCTTCTTGAACCCCATTTTATTTATTTTGTTTATATAAGACACAGATACTTGGCCATGTCAACACTAGCCGGGAAATCTCCGTGGGTTCTTCTGTCTTTTGAGAAAATGGGCTGCTTCATTTTGTCGCTGAAATGCCTTGACTTCTGATTGCTTCATTTTGTTTCAGGGTTCTATCTCGACAGCATCAACATTGCAGACTGATGTTGGAGCAGAAGCCTGTAGTGATCAGGAATCTGAGGTAACCGGAGGGGATAATAGAGACGGCAAAAACAACTGAGACCACCTCTGGTTTTGTGCCATTGGTTCCCTTTGCTTGTGTCTGTTTTTCCCCCCTCTCCTAGTGTAAATCGTCAGTTGTGAATGAAATCAAATGGCCTGTTTCGTTCGGAATATTGGAGGATGCATGTACAAAGGTTCTACTGTCAACTAGAAACAGGAGCGCGGCGTTGCTGCGCCTACACTGGATTGGACCAGAGTACACCAGCACAATCCTATGAAGAGATCTAAGCTACTGATATGGCACTAAATCTAATGAGATATTTTGATCAAAATGGAATGCTTAAATTTGACCACGAAGAGATGCACCAGCTGAATAGACACGGCTCCATATCATCAGTTGAGATGCTTGCGCAGCGATAATCTATGTATAATTTAGCAGTTATATACCATCCAGCAAAAGGCTTTATTAATTCACTGCAATCTTCGATCATACCCATATCTTTTAGAGTACTTTTCAGAATAACTTGTGATGAGGAACATCAAAACAATGTCCTGCCTGCACATGTGTAAACGTCATTTTAAATACAGCTGCATACAGCAACTTACATGGAGTATGCTCTTTGTGTCCTGTTTGTGCCACTCAAGCACACAGTATAGTTATTCCTGATGCAAGAACCAACTATAAAGTAGTCCAGAGTTCAAGTTGTAATCTCTCCTACAACTGTATTATGATACAAAAGGTTAGTGGTCATATTACAGAGGTCAAGGTGAATAAAGTGATAATTGAACTTAGTAAAATGTAGTGACTTTTATTGACTATAATTTTTGCCTTGTTGAATAATTTGGGCAGAGAGAGAACTCTAGATTGCACCACTACAAATATTATTTATGGATATTATATAATAGCTTAAGTAAAGCAATTGAACTCCAAAAACTCTGGACCTGTATACAGTTTTGAACTGCAAACTTCACCGAGGATTAGCATACGTTACTTTAGACACTCGTACCATTAAAGATTTTCAAAAACATTGTTACTGCGAGTTAAACTGATAGATTTTTATTTTATTATTTATTTAAAAAATACAACTATTAAACTACATTTTTAAATTTTATTTTTTTCATATTTAGTTTAACCTTTTTTATATTTAATTTTTAACATTTTAACTTCTGAAACTTCCATTTTAACAAGTTTGATAATCTTTGTACTTAGAAAACAAAATTTATTTGAATTGCGGGAGCCCTCCAAAAAGGAGAATCCCCTCCAAAAATTGGCGTATGCTGCTATTTGCGGCGCACACACGGTATTCTTTAGTAAAAGGCGAAAGAATAGTTCGCTTTGTGTGCAACGCGCAGCTGCTTGATTTCTCAAAGCTGCCCTGGCCCTCCTTTTATGCTTCTCCCTAGACTGCAACAGAACTAGAGAGCGAGGTGGTGCTAAAACTGCTAATGCCTCCGAACTCGACTGTCTCACTGCGCACTCTGCTGTGCGGCCGCGGCTGCGCGACGCGAATTGGGCCTGGCCCGTTACTCCTTGAGAGTGCCATTCACTCCTCACAGCGATTGATGCTAGGCTGGCCCAGCAGAAGATGGGCCGTCACTCCCTGGGAGTGCCAATTCTTGCTCTTTCTCTAACTTTCCACGTCTTTTTTTTCTTCACTTTCTACAGACATTTGGAGGTTGAAGAAAATGCTAAATACGAGGTTATACGAAACTACTTAGTCACCAAAGCGCATCACATATTCACATCAACATGTTGATACGTAAGTTGGTTGGAGAATAAATAAGATTTTCTTTGTGTACTCAAATATGTGGTTTTTAGTTCAAGGGTTGCCTACAAAAAATAGAAGAGGATTTGGTGCTATAATAAGTATTTTATAAATTATTACAAAAAATACAGCTTTGCGTAGTACTCCGTATTGCTTTGCTTGTATTTCTTTCTTTTCTATAATAGTATAGCAGTATTCACCCTGTTCGTTTGGGCTTGTTTGGTTTATAAGTCGTACTTTTTTAGCCAACAAATAGTATTTTTCTCTCACATTAAATCAGCCAACAGTACTTTCGGCCATGGCTTATCAGCCAAACGAGCCCAAACAAACAGGGCCATTGCTGCCGGCCCTTATTTTTTTAAAAAAAAGAAAAAGATGCTAGCCATTCTTGATCATGGGATGAATAAGGGCCTCTTTGGCACGGCTTATGCCGGCTTCGGCTTCATCTATTTTGCGCAAATCGAGGTACTATAGCGTGAAGCCGTTTTGTAAGTCGGGGTTAAAATAAACTAGAAGCCGGAAAAAATCAGTTTTTCTGGCTTCACCAGTGAAACCGTTTTGGATGAGCCGTGCCAAAAGGGCGCTGGGTACATAATTGTGACACTGCAGGTGTTTTATATCTTTCAGTCTTGGTTAAGGATTTCGTATAGTTGGAAAATGGATATTTTCATTGCAGACGTTGAGATTGTAGCAGATTTAATGGTCACGAAAAGCACATCTCTGACATACACAAGCAAACAACACTAAAAGAGGAGTGTCTGGTCAAAGTCACCAACAATTCCACTAATAACTGAACATTCTAAACACACCTCTAATCAAAATTTGCAGGCTTCACACAACAATCCATGCCAAAGCCAAAACTTGTAACCAGAATTGAGAGAATTCGCACTACAGATGGGCCTAAAAAGCTAGTACCTTTGCCAAATTCCTGGCCAGCCTTTTGGTCGTCGCGGCGAGCGAGTCCCTTTCCTTGGCCAGCTTCGCCTGCGCACCAAAGGATCAGAGCCAAAGAAGCCCAATTACAAACCACAATTCTACGGGAAGAATTCCGGCAAAGGGAAAGGGAAGGGCGGGGACGGGGGGAGCTTACGTTCTCGTCGAGAGCGGCGGCCAGGCGAGCGTCGGAGTCGGCGAGGCGGGCGCGGAGTTCGGCCTCGGCGCGGTCGCGGTCGGCGAGGTCACGGCGGAGGCGCGCGGCGTCGGCCTCGAGGCGGTACCAACTCATCAAGATACGGAGGGTAGGAACAGAAGGATGTACAAAGAAAATCCAAAGGAAGAAAAGGAGAAAAAATGAGTGGGGAAATGACATGGAACACCCAACAGTGTACAGCCAGGCAAACTCATCCCCATCACACAAACCACATGTCCGCGTCCGTATCCGTAAAGAAAAATTTCCAAAAAAAAAACTTTAATTTCCACCCCTGTTCTTCCCCGACGCCGGCTACCACCGCCAGCGCCACCAAGAAGTGACCCACCCCGGCACCCGCCCATCGTCCCCCGGCGGCGGCGGCGGCGATGGCGAGGCACGAGGCATCGGCGTCGGCGGCCGCGGCCGCGCCGGGCGTGGACTTCCACCTTCCCGACGAGATCCTGGCCGTGATCCCCACCAACCCGTACGAGCAGCTGGACGTAGCGCGCAAGATCACCTCCATGGCCATCGCCTCCCGCGTCTCCCGCCTCGAGGCCGACGCAGCGCGCCTCCGCCGTGACCTCGCCGACCGCGACCGCGCCGAGGCCGAACTCCGCGCCCGCCTCGCCGACTCCGACGCTCGCCTGGCCGCCGCTCTCGACGAGAACGTAAGCTCCCCCCGTCCCCGCCCTTCCCTTTCCCTTTGCCGGAATTCTTCCCGTAGAATTGTGGTTTGTAATTGGGCTTCTTTGGCTCTGATCCTTTGGTGCGCAGGCGAAGCTGGCCAAGGAAAGGGACTCGCTCGCCGCGACGACCAAAAGGCTGGCCAGGAATTTGGCAAAGGTACTAGCTTTTTAGGCCCATCTGTAGTGCGAATTCTCTCAATTCTGGTTACAAGTTTTGGCTTTGGCATGGATTGTTGTGTGAAGCCTGCAAATTTTGATTAGAGGTGTGTTTAGAATGTTCAGTTATTAGTGGAATTGTTGGTGACTTTGACCAGACACTCCTCTTTTAGTGTTGTTTGCTTGTGTATGTCAGAGATGTGCTTTTCGTGACCATTAAATCTGCTACAATCTCAACGTCTGCAATGAAAATATCCATTTTCCAACTATACGAAATCCTTAACCAAGACTGAAAGATATAAAACACCTGCAGTGTCACAATTATGTACCCAGCCGAAGTTGAACCATCTGACTAAAGTAAAAAAAAAAACCCTACTGTGTTCTTCAAATCAAAGGCTGTAGTTCTTCCATCACAGTAAGTCAGTAATCATAAAACATAAGACATACTCTGCACTGCGATGACGACTACACTATAAACAAGGCTAGACACACGGGTATCATCCAAATTCATAGCAATCAAGTGTTTGTCCTATCTTTACCAAGTGTCCAAAATCATGGACTCATGGTCACGAAAAGCACATCTCTGACATACACAAGCAAACAACACTAAAAGAGGAGTGTCTGGTCAAAGTCACCAACAATTCCACTAATAACTGAACATTCTAAACACACCTCTAATCAAAATTTGCAGGCTTCACACAACAATCCATGCCAAAGCCAAAACTTGTAACCAGAATTGAGAGAATTCGCACTACAGATGGGCCTAAAAAGCTAGTACCTTTGCCAAATTCCTGGCCAGCCTTTTGGTCGTCGCGGCGAGCGAGTCCCTTTCCTTGGCCAGCTTCGCCTGCGCACCAAAGGATCAGAGCCAAAGAAGCCCAATTACAAACCACAATTCTACGGGAAGAATTCCGGCAAAGGGAAAGGGAAGGGCGGGGACGGGGGGGAGCTTACGTTCTCGTCGAGAGCGGCGGCCAGGCGAGCGTCGGAGTCGGCGAGGCGGGCGCGGAGTTCGGCCTCGGCGCGGTCGCGGTCGGCGAGGTCACGGCGGAGGCGCGCGGCGTCGGCCTCGAGGCGGTACCAACTCATCAAGATACGGAGGGTAGGAACAGAAGGATGTACAAAGAAAATCCAAAGGAAGAAAAGGAGAAAAAATGAGTGGGGAAATGACATGGAACACCCAACAGTGTACAGCCAGGCAAACTCATCCCCATCACACAAACCACATGTCCGCGTCCGTATCCGTAAAGAAAAATTTCCAAAAAAAAAACTTTAATTTCCACCCCTGTTCTTCCCCGACGCCGGCTACCACCGCCAGCGCCACCAAGAAGTGACCCACCCCGGCACCCGCCCATCGTCCCCCGGCGGCGGCGGCGGCGATGGCGAGGCACGAGGCATCGGCGTCGGCGGCCGCGGCCGCGCCGGGCGTGGACTTCCACCTTCCCGACGAGATCCTGGCCGTGATCCCCACCAACCCGTACGAGCAGCTGGACGTAGCGCGCAAGATCACCTCCATGGCCATCGCCTCCCGCGTCTCCCGCCTCGAGGCCGACGCAGCGCGCCTCCGCCGTGACCTCGCCGACCGCGACCGCGCCGAGGCCGAACTCCGCGCCCGCCTCGCCGACTCCGACGCGCGCCTGGCCGCCGCTCTCGACGAGAACGTAAGCTCCCCCCGTCCCCGCCCTTCCCTTTCCCTTTGCCGGAATTCTTCCCGTAGAATTGTGGTTTGTAATTGGGCTTCTTTGGCTCTGATCCTTTGGTGCGCAGGCGAAGCTGGCCAAGGAAAGGGACTCGCTCGCCGCGACGACCAAAAGGCTGGCCAGGAATTTGGCAAAGGTACTAGCTTTTTAGGCCCATCTGTAGTGCGAATTCTCTCAATTCTGGTTACAAGTTTTGGCTTTGGCATGGATTGTTGTGTGAAGCCTGCAAATTTTGATTAGAGGTGTGTTTAGAATGTTCAGTTATTAGTGGAATTGTTGGTGACTTTGACCAGACACTCCTCTTTTAGTGTTGTTTGCTTGTGTATGTCAGAGATGTGCTTTTCGTGACCATGAGTCCATGATTTTGGACACTTGGTAAAGATAGGACAAACACTTGATTGCTATGAATTTGGATGATACCCGTGTGTCTAGCCTTGTTTATAGTGTAGTCGTCATCGCAGTGCAGAGTATGTCTTATGTTTTATGATTACTGACTTACTGTGATGGAAGAACTACAGCCTTTGATTTGAAGAACACAGTAGGGTTTTTTTTTTTACTTTAGTCAGATGGTTCAACTTCGGCTGGGTACATAATTGTGACACTGCAGGTGTTTTATATCTTTCAGTCTTAGTTAAGGATTTCGTATAGTTGGAAAATGGATATTTTCATTGCAGACGTTGAGATTGTAGCAGATGTAATTGATGATATTTTAGAGAAGCCCTCCGGTAATAAATAATTTTGAACACAATGTTATGGATATCAGATTGTCAAGCCAGAATGTGGAAACTGATTCAATAGATAAATAGCATAGAAATAAGGGCAGGTTTGGTTACTGCTTTACTGTCAGTTACTTTACTTTGCAGTTTCACGCATAGTGTTGCAAAAACTATAATAATTGGCTGTGAAGTTTTTGACTGGAACATTACTTGTCCGTGTATTTGCCATTTCCTTGTATGATGTCATGTGTATGAGCCTGGCAAGGAATTCTAACCAGCATGAAGTTTGTCAAACTGTACTTCTATTCTACATGAGAAATGCACTTCGCTAGTTACCCAAATTACCAGAGATTGTTCGTTCTGTGCAGTTGGAGGCATTTAAGAAACAATTGATGAAATCGTTGAGTGAAGATAATCTATTGGTGAGTTGTATTGATCAAATCGTTTTTTCACTCTTAGTCAAAATTTATTGTTACCTTTCAAGCCTTCTCTTCTGCGGGAACTTTTGTGTCAGCAAATGATTTTGTTGGCATATTTTCACAGCAACTGTCTGAAACCAGTCAAGATCACAACAGAGAAGATAATTTGACAGCTCGAGTCTCGTCTTGGAAAGGTGTCATTCAACATCCTTACAGTTCTTACAGTTTTGACAGCATTTTCTGTTAAACGATAGCCGTAACCATAGCCTGATACATGCTTTCATTTTGTTTTCTATGACTATAGATGAAGTTTCAAGCAGTAACACTTCTTCAGATACCTCCAACAGATCCACAATGACTGAATCCATCCATGGTGGAGGTAATTCACTCTCGCTACTGAAAAGTCAGCTAAACTAGATCAACGTATTAACATATTTTGAGCCCAGCCACTTACATTGAAAGAATTTACACTTTTCCAGGATACAAGTTCTCAATCACATCATATATGCCTCCAAAATTAACTCCTGGCTCAACACCTATGATTTCGTCCTCTAGTGGTTCTCCCCGAGCTTATTCAACTGGCCCACCCTCTCCCAAGTTCTTATCTGGTCCGACTTCTCCTACAAAAACTCGATCCGAGGGCCAATTGACATTTTCATCATGGCAAGGATCATCAAGTCATCAGTATTCAGCACCTACCTCTCAACGCCATTCGTTCACAGGTTGAAGACAGTGAATGTGACATATATTGGAGCTTACTAAAGATGCATACACTAACTCTTTTCTGTTTCCAGGGCGGCCACGTATAGATGGGAAGGAATTCTTCCGACAAGCACGGTTAGTTGTTATTCTGGTTACCTTTTGCCGCAATGGTTAGTTTGCTTCTCTCTTAATGTTTGTGCCTACAACTCCCAGGACAGGACTTTCTTATGAGCAATTTGGAGCATTTTTGGCCAATATCAAGGAGTTCAATGCTCAGAAACAATCACGAGAGGTATCATAATCTACCATTGTTTTCATTACGACAGAAACTTGGAAAACATGTCATGTGATGTTTTTTACTTAAGTAACTAATATCTGCAGGACACCCTGTCAAAAGCAGAAGAGATTTTTGGAACAGAACACAAAGACTTGTACATTTCTTTCCAGAATATGCTTAATCGCAACCAATCATGAGAATTTGTCAGAAGCAGTATTTTTTCTCTCTAAATCAAGCAGGTTCGTTCATTCCTATGTCTCTTACGGTTAAGGAATCTAATATTTTGGTCAGCTAATCATGTCTGCTTCATGCCATTTGTTTCCAGAGAAGAATCTGTTGGAATAAACGATGCCCTTTCATAGGTTCTCAAGATCACATTGTAGAGGTCTGTATATAGGCCACCTTAATTCGAGGTGTTCATTCTCAATAATTTGGAGCTGTGACTTAAAAGCAAAAATCTCATGGCTACCAGAAATTTGGCCCGTTTGATTTAGCATACATTCACTCCTACTTGTCATTCAAGTCTTCCAGCTGTAAATTCGGATGCAAATCTCTTGAGCCTTCAGGTGCCTTCCCTAGTTCCCTTTGTAGAAAGCTGTATACAACTCTTCTTTGCAGTTGTTCTTTTTTTTTTTTAACTGTTCTTTGCAGTTTGTTCTAACTGCCAAGTGTATGCGGAATGGATATGATCACGGAAACATTCGTTCTGTACTGAGATATTCGATGAACTACTCCTATGTGATTGTGAGTTTTTGTTGGGTTATATCACAGGACATTTTATTGAACTGGATTTTTCACCGTATCCATGGGATGCCTTACACCGGTAGTCACCCTGTTCGCTTAGATCGTTTCTGTCGCTTATAAGCCGGCTGATGCTGTTTTATTATGAGAGAAAATATTATATCATGGCTGATAAGTATGGCTGATACGATCAAGCGAACAAGGATGCGAACAAGGATGAGTATTACTTGTGAACTTTGTAATGTACCGGAGCTTTTTCTTCCAGGGCTGTGAATGAATTGTGATATACAAGGAAGAAAAATGAAATGCAAAAATAGAGAAGATAGAAGTTTTGACACGAACACTCTCGCTGACAGGTGTACGTAATACCCCTTAAGGACTGATTTCATGGGCCCACATGTCATGCACACATCCCTCCGCTCATCCTTCAGGCTTCATCTTCCCGATCCCACCACTGGTCCACCACCATGGCCACCCCATCCACCTCCGGCGACCCCGCCGGCGGCGGCGAACCAGTCCCAGCCCCATCACAAGGACCAGCCCAGCGTCGCCACCCAACATCCCGCATCTCCCACATCGTGCGCACCTACCTGGACCTCTCCAGTTCCAGGAAGCGCCGTTCGGCTCCCAAGAACCAGCCCAAGGCCGACGACAAGGAAACGGATGCCGCCGCCGACGAAACTGATGGGTCCAAGGCGGGGCCGTCCTCGTCCCATCCGTCTCGGCTGCTCCGGGAGCTGGGCATCCGCGTCTCCCGCTACACGCACGAGGAGCGCCGGGATATCATCCTCCGCTACATGCAGAAGCGGAGCGGCCGCCAGGTCGTCAACCGCGCGGCCAGTAAGGTGCGATTTGTTTGATGAGAACTTAGTTTAGTGGGGAGATTGGATTGCAGAGCGTGCTAAAGCTGACAGGTTTCTTTGCTGCTGCTTGCAGGTTCCATCGAGGCAGGCTCTGGCAGTCCGGCGGCGGAGGGGTGCTGGAGGGAAGTTCCTCGGCAAGGATGACGCCCAGGTACAGTCCGGGATATCCGGTTCCTATAGAATGGAACCACTTGGTGTTGCACATTACAAATAGGCTAAAGTTTATATGAAATATAAAAAACAGTTAGCCCAGTTTTATGTGAATTTTGCCATGCCATCAATAGAGAGAATTTTTTATTAACAAAGCAGCTCTACTGTTAGAAATGTTGATGTTTTGGCTCGTTTACTTCAGTGTGCAAGCTATATTGACTGCATAAATGAGGTAGTAGTCTAGTAGATAAGTACCAATGCTGAAGTGGAGACTAATGTTAGCTATCAGAAGTGGAGATTAGTGCTGAAGACATCATGTTAATGATATACTTCAACATTGTGTTCGAAAGATGAGTTTATATATACTTAGTTATCCAAACTTCTGTTGTGTAAGAGCTTTTTATTTCCCCAGACTGCAGATAAGCCAGAAGAAAAGGCAGAAGAAGAGCCAGAATTGCCACCAGAAGTCGTCTCGAATGCTGGAGGAGTACCCATAGTTGGTATGGTCTTTGAGAGTGAAGAAAAAGCATATGAGTATTATGTTAGTTATGCAGGAAATATGGGATTTAGTGTTCGAAAAGGATGGTCGGAGAAAACTGCTAAAAATTCCAATAGGTCAAGGGTCTATGTCTGTTCTAGGGAGGGATTTCGCTCAAAGAATGACACCAAGGGACCTCGCTCAGAGACAAGGGTGGGTTGCCCTGCACGGGTAGCAATTAAGGTGACACCTAGTGGTAAATATCGTGTAACAGAATTTGTGGAGGATCATAATCACCAGCTTGCTGCACCATTTGATATTGAGATGCTGAAATCGCAAAGAGTGTTGAGCAAAGTTCGACCTGGAAGCCAAAATGCTAGTAAGATCCCTCCAGGGTATAAGAATTATCTCCGGTCCAAATCTACAAAGATATGAAACCAGGGGATCTCAGAACTCTGATGGATTATTTTCAAGAATGAAGAGTGATAATCCATCGTTTACTATGCCATTCAGGTGGATGAAAATGACAAAGCGGCTAATGTCTTCTGGGCTGATGCAAGGTCAATCATGGACTATCACTACTTCTGTGATGTAGTCTGCTTAGACATGATCCACAAAGCAAATGATTGCAGCAGGCCT